GATGCGGGACTCGATCCCGGGACTCCAGGATCATGACCTGAGCCGAAGGCAGTCGCTTAACCAACTGAGCCACCCAGGCGCCCAAAAAGTTAGGAAATTTCAATTAAAAAGTCTGTTATCCTAATTTTAAAAACAATTTCAAAACTTTGTTTCAGGAAAAACATGAACATTACATTCATTCTTTCATTTTTAGACCTTCTGGTGTTAGTTTTAAATTATTTCTAATTCAACATTTTCCCTCCCTGCCAATTCTCTTGTTTGAGGTGTTTGCTAAAGAATAACAATCACAAACGTATTTTCCAGCCTATCCAAAACTGTTATTCTAGCTCACCCTTTGTCTCAAACCATGAAGAATTTGAATAATCAATAAGAATTAAACATCTCAACTAGACTATTTAGTAGTTGCTTCTTAATATGCTGCTCACAACTGTTTATCTTTGAAACATAATTAGTCTACAGAACCAACATAGCCTGTGTTCTCCTTTTGTGCTTCAGTATCAGTAATCTGTCTTAACTTCTTTTATAATATCACCATTGCTATTACTAACATTGATTTTAATATAGGAAACTACAATAAAGATCACCCATAATCCCATGACCTTGAGAATATCACTGTTAACAGGTTATTATGCATTTTTACTTTTCTCTGATTGATTTATAAGCTGCATGGGTTTGTGTGATGAACTGTTTTAACTTGTTTTGGCATAGAGAATAAATTCAGAGTGAATAAATTGATGAAATTTACTAAAGACATCCACAGATGGGTTAAAAAATCAAAACTAAATGCAATGGAAATCACACTTTTATTTCTAACAACTGTAGCCTTTACATTTTCTCAGAATTTTTACATCATTGAAAACTTTAAGTCTGGAAAAAGAGATGCCAAGCATAATAATCATCATTATAAGAACAGGATTATGTGACTAGGATTATGGAAAAAAACATACAAAGACACTTAAAATACACATGGCTCTACTTCAGTTTTCAATTAGATATGTACTCATCAGGCAGATTGGATTAAACAATGAAGTCCCTGTTTGGAAAGCAAAACTAGCTGTTTCTCATTAAAAAGCTGTCTACAACTCATGATACATTTAAAATGTTTCTGGCCTCCCATCCAAGTACTAACCAGGATGGGAGGCCAGAAATATTTTAAATGTATCATGAGTTGTAGACAGCTTTTTGTGGTGTTATTTTTAAAATTCTGTATAGCAAAGACAGAAAACACCTGTATCTGCAAGCATATTTCCATTTATATAAACTCAATCTAAAAGACTGTCCCTTTGCTATAAATGGCTGACACTACAAACACCTCTTCTCACCACTGCTAGACATTTCTCTACCATTTCCTCTTGGTAACTAAAGATAAATCAGCACTGCCTACAACACTGACCATTATCTCCAATTCTCACTTTATACAAATTGGCAAAGGATCTTTAAGTGGTGACAGAGAACAGGTAGTAAATAGAGTAGAGAGGGAAAAAAGTGGTACAAGAAGGAGTGCACTAAATCCACCTGCTCGTCTTTACCATTCTATCCACTACCTCTCCCAACCCCAAACCTGCTCATCCCCATCAACAAGCATCAGTTGGACAAATGGACTGGGAAGGATGGAGAGAAATCTTTTTCTACCACAGCAGGAAAATCTTATTTTCATTGTTATTCCTGCTTCATTTTCAATTTCAGTACCAGATATAAGGGAAGGGAAAACTACATTATCTAACTCTATACTCATTATCCAGTGCTCACTCCTGTCCTTATTATCCAGTGAACATTCTTCATTCTACCCTAATTTATTTCCTTTCCTGCCATTTCTCACACAAAAACCCGTACCTCATATAGTCCCAACTCAACTAATCATACCTATCCCATGGATTACCCCATTCTCATCAATTTACATCTTTATACCCAACACAAACTTCTGCTTCCCATTTTCCCTCCTATTCCACCAACATGTGGAGTCACCATTAGGTGTGCACCTGGGAAGAAAAACCATTATGCCCATAAAATATGTACAGTGCTAATGATGAACTATCCAAACTTTAATCAAGTTGTTTCAGTATTTTGGGGATTTGGCACACTCACGTGTAAAAGGAACGAGCTAGTTTAAATCCCCGTTTCAAAAACTGGCTGACAAATTTCCAGGCCCCAGTGACAAGGATTCTGAAACTATATACCTAAGGTAGAGACAGGAATTTTCTAAATGGCACCCAGATGAGTCTACTGATCAGTCATATTTGGGAATCAATGATAAATGCTAAGGCTCCTTCTAGTCTAACATTCCAATATTCTAAGCTGGAATTTTCACTGCATTTTCTGATAGGAATACTGTTAAAAGGTGTGTAGTTTATATCGTTGATGGTCTTACAGTTACTGTTTAAATAGGCCTGTATAACCTGACCTAGCACCTAAGCTCCATTTATATCATTATTTTATGACCACAGGTGACTTGCAAATGAACTTATATGTTTGCAGACTGTGGACCACCAGTATTATAACAATACTAAAACCTCAGAGGAAAACACTAAAAATTATTTTCTTGGGATTATGTGCATAATTAGACTTTTCCACAGATGGCCTTTTCACCTTTTCACAGATTTCTGCCCAATCACAACTAAGATTTGACCTACAAGTCAGAAATAAAAGTAGGAAGGGCATGCTCTTTAGGATCTTTTACTTTGCTAGTTCACTGATGGGGCTTTGTGTATCACTGAAATAAAGCCTAGAGAAATCTAGATCATTGATGGAATTCAGGGCATTAAAATACCTAATGAACAGTCTCACTCAAATGTTTACAGACTGCCAGGACTTTACCTGCCCAGAAGCACACTAGATCATTCATTTATGAACCACATGTATCTATTCTAGCTCTAGTAACTTCCAACTACCAATTCTCATTATAAACAAAGGTTCCCTTGGTTAATATTCAAGTTTAAAGACATGTTTCAACATGTGAGAACTAATCAAGTAAAAACAGCACTTGAAGACATGATGACACATCAGTAGTGTGTTGATTTAAGTGGAACCTCTTCATTTATGAATAAATTAATAATATTATTATAAAAAGGTAAAAATGGAAACCATTATATGCTAGTCAGCTTTTTCTTTAAAAAGATGTACTTGCTTAGAGTTTTACAAAATAGCATGATAAAGGAAATTGTGTCCATTTATTTCATTTCTCCAGTGGATTTCTCCAATCTACAGTGAATGCCATTATGTAAGTGCATTCTCTGAATATCAAGAATGATGCAATGGTTGCCATAACAACTACTCATTTTATTGAATAAATTGTGGGTTGGGGGTTAAAGCGTTCTTTTAAAAAACAAATGTCAACATCTTAACTATGCCTGATAAGTCTCTATTGTTACCTATTAAACAGTAACTATAGGCCATCTTTGAGGATGACTATTTAAACAGCTATTTAAAAAGCTAGGCTTGAGTTGCCAAGGGAGGAAAACTTTGAATTTAAAGTTTGAAAAATGAAACACATCAACTACATTCAAAGGAACAAAAGATACTTCTTTTTAATCTTCTACAGTAACTGAAAGTGTTTGTAAATCAAAAGTAACACGATATTACATGTCACTGTAACAAATTTTGCTTCTAATCCTAAATTTAACTCACTATAAGACTAACACTAGAGGGGCGCCTGGGTGGCTCAGTCGTTAAGCGTCTGCATTCGGCTCAGGTCATGATCCCAGGGTCCTGGGATCGAGCCCCGCATCGGGCTCCCTGCTTGGCGGGAAGCCTGCTTCTCCCTCTTCCACTCCCCCTGCTTGTGTTCCCTCCCTCTCGCTGTGCCTCTCTGTCAAATAAATAAAATCTTTAAAAAAAAAAAAAAAGACTAACACTAGAAGAATGCCGACTTTTCAGTTTTCAATTAAGCTAAAGTGAGAACAAGTAGAAGGTTATCCCTCATTTTGATACTCAAGAAATTTCTCCTGAGTGTGTGAAAAAACTGGGAATTTTCAATGTCAAGTGACCTATAAAATAGCTCTGTAAAGAAGCCTATATTTAAAAACACCAAGGATAACTGTAGACCCCAACTATAAACGCTCCTCAGGCGAAGCAAAAGCTACTAAAGGCTTCTTCCTTTGCTTAAGATCTTCCATAGGACAGGTTCCCAGCGATGGCCAGCTTCACTGGCATCTGTGTCCTTAGGAGGCTTGGTGGTTACACAGACTATTCAAAGCTAAACAGTATTTTGAGAACCTGCCCCAGATCTTTTCCTTCCCCACCGAAATAAACAGTAAGATCAAGGTTTTGAAGAATGGCGGGTGGGGGGTATGGATGGCGCCCCTCCCCCCTTTAACAAGGTGAAGTCCAGTCAGCTAGAAGGCCTGCTGACTTCGCAGCCCTGGAAACCAATGCGAGGAAGCTCCAGCACTGCCTGGCTAAACCCACAGGCAAGGGGTCTGTCGGGGCAGCAAATCAAACAGCCTGGTCAAGCGCAAGGGAGAGAGTAGCAACTCAGGCTTCTTTTAATCTGTCTTTCACAAATGGCTTTTACCTGCCTTCGTGTTCTACCTTCACCTCTCTCGCGACAAGCGACCTCCGCCTCTTCTGGGAGGGTGCGTTTGTTTGTGTGTGTAGTGACAACAATCTCAGCACCCCGACTGGGGACAGGGGATTGGAAGGGGTGGGGACTCAGTTCCTCCACAGCCCTGGAACTCTCCTGAAGGGCCCTCGAAGAAAAGGGGGCGGGAGAGCGCGCCTGACGCCGACTGAGGACTCGACCAAGAAGGGGGCGTCCGGGCCTGGGAGAGCGGCACTGGCAGGGGCTGACGTGCAGCTCCTTCAGGTTGTAATGGTGGCCCCTTGGGGGAGGGGAGAGGTGACAAGGGGCTGGGGGCGATGAGGCCTCCCCTCCCCCCTCGCTCAAGCTCGCTGTTTACCTTCCCGGTACTTCTTGCGGAGCCGCCGGTGGACGCTCTTCACCACCCCGGAGAGCTTCTCCTGCTCCAGCTTCCGCTCCTGCTCCCGAGGCGGCGGAGTGCTCGGGGGCCCAGCCCCGTGCCTGCGAGCACTGCTTCGGCCGCCGGCCTCCGGCTCCATATCGCTGCCGCCGCTGCCGCCGCCGCTGCCGCCGCCGCCCCTCGGGCCCCCGCAGACGCCTGCCTGACGGAGGAGGTGGGGAAGGAGGAGGCAGCAGCGGAGGCAGCAGCCGGGGGAGGCAGAGGAGCCGAAGCGTCGGCCTCGGAGGTGGCCCCTTACCCAAACGCTCAAGCTGATTGGTGGACTGTGGAGGGCTGGGCGGAAACGGAAAAGGCTAAGGGCCAATGGACGGAGAGCGCCGGCGGCGCACCCGGTTGTTTGGGACCGCGAGCAGCTGGAGGAGGCGGGGCTTGCGGGCTAAGGGGAGCTGAGGCATTGGGAGCGCTGGGCCCAAAAGCTCCTTTCTGTTCCCCACCCCTCGCCAGATTCTGTGCGCCGGCGCTGTGAACCACGCGCTTGCGCGTCTGAGTTTGCTTCGTTGGGGCTCGGTTCTACTGCCCACCCTGTTCATGTCTTCCAGCCATTCCATCCCCTGAGTCCTCTACCTGAACCCCTGCTGTACTTTGTCACTTATAGGTTCTCTTTAGCTGCATAGCGCGGGGAAGCGCTTTTGAGATGACTCGACGCACAGGAATTTTACATTTCAAGGGACCCAAGCAGAGATGCTTTCATTGGCGCGAGGAGAGGTCTGACTACCAAGTGGTGACTTAATTCACGGGCCGGCAGTGGTTATGTCTTCAGTGCCAGAGCTGGGCGAAGGACATAGGAAATGGGAAACGGAGAAGGCCAAGAAAAGCAGTAGAAGATGATAGTGGAGAGAAAAGGAAAAATGGAGAACCCTCAACACATGCCCTCAAGAACTTTTGTGGTGGCCCGGGTGTCACAGGGAGCGTGCCCTGATTAAATTTGCATCAGAACTGAGTGCTTTTAAAAATTGGCTTGGGTGTCCACCTGTCCTTTAATTTGGTGGGTTAGTCTATGTGAAGTGTACCTAAGTGGGTTTGGCAACCTGTACCATCACCTGCACCCCTCCTCGCCCTTCTCTTTGGAAATTCCCGGGGAGTGTGGTTGTTGATATCCGTCCCTGCTCCCCAGAGAGATGTAGACTGTATTAGTTCTTGAAGTGGTGTTGAGGCTGCTCAACAAAAGGCTGAGAGCTCTTAAAGGATTGTGTTAGGTTGTAGAGTACCCCCGAACTGCAGTTGTTGGTTACGTGATGTTGTTTGTAAAATGTTGCAAAAACTTTTTAACCAATGATTTTACGAATATAAATAAAGCTTGCGTTATGTAACTTTTATATGCCACCTTCTCAATAATGAAGACTCTAAAGAGCAAAGCACCGTACACACTCTCTAGACCATAGGAAGAACAGGAGGGGGGAAATGAAGGGAGAAGACTGGTGGAATATAGGGCGCCTGGGTGGCTCAGTCGTTAAGCGTCTGCCGGCTCAGGTCATGATCCCAGGGTCCTGGAATCGAGTCCCACATCGGGCTCCCTGCTCGGCAGGAAGCCTGCTTCTCGCTCTCCCACTCCCCCTGCTTGTGTTCCTGCTCTCGCTATCTCTCTCTGTCAAATAAATAAATAAAATCTTTAAAAAAAAAAAAAAGACTGGTGGAATATAAAGATGGAAGATGTATTCCTACCTGCACAGTGTAGAGGCAGATCAAATACAGATAAACTTCAAAAGAACTAATTATAATGAAGTTACACACACATGTGTAATAAATTGAGGCTATGGTGGTCTTATCTGGGAGCTTTTCATTAGAGAAGAAAGAGAAGCTTTAATGACACAGTTGTTCTGGCTCTTTCCATATATATTTTAATATGTATGGGAGGTGAAAAGAGGTGCAAATATTTGGAAGTTACAACCATTGTAAAGAGGACATTAAATTTCATTTGTACTGAATTGTACTAAAAAAACAAACTCTCCCTGCTACTACTTGCAAATGAATTTTAAAGTCCTTTTTATTTCTTTTTAAAGATTTTATTTATTTGAGAGACAGAGTGATCGAGAAAGAGAGAGAGAGAACGTACACAAACAGAGGGAGAGGGAGAAGCAGGCTCCCTGTTGAGCAGGACCCTGGGATCATGACCTAAGCCAAAGGCAGATGCTTAACCGACTGAGCCACCCAGGCACCCCTAAAGTCCTTTTTAAAAGTAAAGATGTTTACTGAACGAAATTTGGAAAATACAGATGGGAGTAAAATGAAATTGCTGAGAGAGAAGATCTTAAGTGTTCTCATCACAAAGAAGAAATGATAAATATGTGATGGGATGGAGGTGGTAGCTAATTTGATAGTGGTAATCATTTTGCATTTTATAAAATATCAAGTCAAGATGTTGTACACCTTATACTCACAATGTTAGGTGTCAATTATATCTCAGGAAAGCTGAGGGAAAAAGTAAAAGTCACCTGGAAACCCACCACTTGGAGATAACAACTGTTAACATTTTTTTTTCTTTGCATATATATCTTTATTTCAAATGGTATATTTTTGATGGACATAAGGTAATCTGTTATATGAATAGCCTTTCACTTTAGTAACCAATTCCCAACTATAGTATATTTATGGTGTTTCAGTTTTTTGGTGTTCCAAATAATGCTGTGATGAACACCCTTGTACACAAATGTTTATCTATTTAATTATACATTTTACTAGGCTAAATTTCTAAAAGTCAAATTTTTTAATCAAAGGGTCAAAATTTTAACTGAAACATGAGTCATATTTTTAACTAAAACATGTTAAAGTTTTTAATATATATTGTCAAATGCCTTGTCTGAAAGGGTGGCAGTTTATGTCACCTGAAGCAGTATATATGAATGTCTATTTCACTGCACCCTTATCAAATATAAGTATTACAATTGACAAAATCATTAATGAGATTTTTTAAAGGTCTTTGTTTTTAAGAAACATGTGGGACTTTTCTGCTGTTTTTTAACTAGCTATTCTAGTTGGTATAATATTAACATTGAATATTAATATAAGACCAAATAAAAAGAACTTATTCAAGACTCTCTAGTTGTCATTTTTTCAAGCAAATTAAAGAGCTTCATTTTTTAAATGTGTTTTTGGTTTCATACTTCCTTGAGAAGGGAATTGGAAAGCTGGATTTTATTCTGAATTTGCATGAATTCAAATAGGGTAAAGGCCAATATAACCAATACTGACCTTTCTTAGGAGGATTATGGCAACTGGCCATAGACCACAGTTTAAAAGGAAGTTTATAACCTTCCTCTTGTGTGATTAGAAATATTGGAAAAAGCTTTCTATCTGTTAAGGTAGCAGAAGAATAGTAATAGGATTTTCCATTTAGTAAAATATTTGTACCAGTTGCTGCTAAGAGGGGTTCTCTGCAGGAAGTATGTTCGGTGCCATAGTCAATAAGCATATTCTATGTGCAGGAAAATATCCACACCTTTGCCTCCCATGTGATGACAAGATTTCATTTACTGTAAATATCTTATTTTTTAAAAATTCTCCCATTATTTTATTTTATTTTTTTAAGATTTTATTTATTTAAGAGAGGGAGAGAGAGAGAGTGAAAGCGGGGGGTAGCAGCAGAGAGAGAGAGGGAGAAGCAGGCTCCCCCTGAGCAGGGAGCCCGATGCGGGGCTTGATCCCAGAATTCTAGGATCATGACCTGAGCGAAAGGCAGATGTTTTACTGACTGAGCCACCTAGGCACCCTCTCATTATTATTTTAAACGGCTGGTGGAAAAGGGGATGTTGGAATAAAACAGTATTCACTGAGCAGGATAAACCAGTCTGGGAGGAGGAGGCATTTTTTCTAATGACTGCACTAAACCCCAGATAACTAAATTTCTCATCCTCATTCTTTGCCTTACCTGACCAACTCTTGCACTCTTCCCCATGCACATTTGGTGTGTCATAGTAAGTTTCTCTGTCAAAGAACTACTCAGTATAGGAAAAATGTCCTTGGCAAGAAAAACACCTGTCTTCTTTGTTTGCAGTTATATTCTTTATAAGGGAAACAAATTCCCATAGACAATAAGGATCAACATGTAAAAATAAGGTGCATTCTATTCTCAGTGAGAGTTCATAAAATATTAGTGATGAAAAGTAAAATTTTAAAATCCATATCAAAATCTGGGTGATGGCACTGAGTTAGTGAATAGAAAGGTTCTGGGTACACTTTGCATAAGTGTCCTTTCCATTATTTATCGAGTATTCCTGTAGGTGGGATAAGACTACACTTTAGGAATTAGAGTTCTTTCGATGGTCTAAAGCATTAATCATTTATTTTTATTCTCCACTATGTTTTTATTTATTCCTCTTTGACCCTCTTTATTATCAAAGTCTTAAAAACAATTAGGTTTTATTTTTCCAGTCCTCATTTTAACTGAATTTCTGAAAATTATATTTCTAAATAGCCATGAGCCAAAGATTTGGCCAGCTTGGAATATATCTCTATCTTCCATAATAAAAAGGGACATCAAGTCTTTTTATACTATTGAGGTACACCATTGCATTTTATAAATGTAAGTTTAATATTAATACCTCTATTAATTAAAATAATAGTGGAGAACTAGCAAGAAAAGACATTTTCAGTGATATGCTTCATTCAGTATGGTGGATTACAACTTTAAAATTCCTTCTATTTATTGAAAATAGAATTATTTTCTTAAAGAATTTATCTATAACTACTATCCAGTGTCTCCCCTGCAGTTCTTAACATATCTGCCAACATAAAAATCTTTAAAATAGCACAGTTTACCTCTCTTTCCAGAATATGCAGAATCGTGTTAAGACCAGTATTAACTAGAGCAAGTGAAAACCATTAATTAGTGCCTAACTCCAAATGCAATGATAAAATTTACAATATTTTTTTAATATACTAATTAATGAAATTCATTTAATTTTCACAACAGGACTAACGTAGGAAGATATCTACATAGAAAATGTGAAGTATTCTTTCAGGTGATAGATGATGTTCTTATAATGGAGCATAGGACTAAGAGATTTTCTGCATCCTGATTTCAGCTTTTCATTAACCACCAGGGCATTAATCACTTGATTTCTCTAAGCTTTATTTTTCCTTCTTTATATGTTAAGTGAAGAGGTTAGATTTGACTTGTGTTTTTCAATATTCTTTTTTACCATGACACACGGTAAGAAATACATTTTTTTAAGTAATACATTTTACTTGTTTATCCTGAAAGACATACAAATGGGCAACAGATACATGAGAAGATAACATCATTAATCATCAGAAAAATTAAAATCAAAACCATAATATAATAGGATATTAGGTGGCCCCCAATCTCCAGAAAGACCAAAGTGGCAGACTTGGAGACTACCCAGCTTGGATCAACACCTAAGTCAGACCCAGCGCCCTCTATCTGGTCAAACCCCACTGGCTCTGTTTCTTGGCATACAGGGCAAATGTTGGACATTGAATGATGGAACTTCAGTCACTGTAATACTAAAATACCCACACCTCCACAGTCTCCCTTAACAGACCAAAAGATTCCCTGCAGCTTCTGCTTCATTGTTTTGCACTTTTCTGAATAGACAGTTCACTTCAGAGAATATAGTTAGCAGAGTCTAAGTCTCTTATCTAGGCCTGCATTCATGCCAGAGGAAATCTCCCAGATGTAAAAATGGTGTTCAAAAGGAGCTGAGTAACCTCTGTATGGCAAGGTACATCTCACAAAGTGTTCTGAAAATTAAAGTGAGTCACAGAATTATAGTGGTTTGGAGGATGAAAGGGATCTTTTAAATTGGTCATGTTTTCCAAATTTTAGGCCAATACTCAATAGTGGACCATAAAATCAATGTAGTGTGCTCCCCAGTTTTAAAAACTAAAATAGAATTGAAAAAACCACCATGTATTATTGCACTTAATGAAGGTAAGTATTGTCTGGTGGAACTTTTGTCCTAATTACATATAAGTGTCTATATTTATATATGTATAGTATATGTTTAAGTGTCCTGAGCCCCAATGTAAAATGTAAAGATAAACAAGTAGATCAATGGAACAGGAGAGACGTTCAGAAATAGACCCACACTTGTATAGACAACCGATTTTCTCACAAAGTTGCAAAGACATTTAGCGGAGAAAGGACAGTCTTTTCAATAAATGATGCTGAAACAATTGGACATTTATATGCAAAAAAAAGAACTTCAGCCCAAGTCTCATGCCATATATGAAAATTAACTCAAAATGGAACACAGACCTAAATATAAAACCTAAAACTGTAAAAGTTCTGGAAGAAAACCTTTTTGACCTTGGGTTAGGCACATATCTTTTAGAGATGACATAAAGTACAACCCAC